TCAGTAATGTTACTTTACCTAGACTCTTAGGATATAAAAGATAGAAGGAAAGTTAGAGGTTATCCAATCTAAGCCTCGCATTTCATAGGTGAGAAAGTAGATTTTCAGTGAATTCATTTTCCTTTAGTTACAGTTTCTATTTTGGACCTTGATCTACACACAGTTCATTTAATTAAACCCTTATTAATTTATGGCTTTAATGCTTTTAGGGGTTTTTCTTCTTGAAAAGTAAAATATTCATCATCATCCTCATTAGTTTCTTTTGAACCAATATTGTATTGGTAAATGTCTCTGTGCTAGCGCTTAAAGGTCATAGAGTTGGAATTTTTTTAATCTACCTGCAAAAATACTACAGATATATACACAGCAAGATGATTTTTCTAATTCAAATAGACATCAGATCACATCTACTCTTTCTTTTTTTTTTTTTTTTTTTGCGGTATGCGGGCCTCTCACTGTTGTGGCCTCTCCCGTTGCGGAGCGCAGGCTCCGGACACGCAGGCTCAACAGCCCTGGCTCACGGGCCTAGCCACTCCGCAGCATGTGGGATCTTCCCGGACCGGGGCACGAACCCGTGTCCCCTGCATCGGCAGGCGGACTCTCAACCACTGCGCCACCAGGGAAGCCCCCACATTTACTCTTAAACACTTGACTTTTATTTTATCATTTCTCCTGGTACATTATTGTGTCGATATCTCAGCATATTACATGACAAGGAAGTTAAATTCATCACGATCCATTCTCATTAGAATGTTAAATGAGACTGTAATATAACACAGTTATGTTTCATGAACATACTTCACTTAAACTCTTACCAAATAAAATGTTACTAATAAATGGTAGAATGAAGAAAACACTTTTGAAACCGGGAATCGTGGGTGATGGAGTATAACCAATAGGAAACGTAATCACTCCAGGAAAAGAGAAATTAATTGATATTGAGAAGTATAAATTGAAAATACTAAGTGAAATTATTTTAATCAGGCAGAAAAAATAATGATTTAGCCTTTAGTTAGTCAAGTTCCTCTGTAGTCTTAAATTGTAAGTGAATTAATACTTAACCTTTGTGGTCATGCATTATCTTCCTTATTTTATCCAGAATTCAATGGATATTATTATATAGGGAAGCAAGAAGCTGTTAGAAATAACTAGAAACATAATGATCCGATCAGCCATTGACATTGTATTGATGTTTTTTCCATAGGCAAGTTAACCGATATCCATGGAAATGCCCTTCAGTATAACAAGGAAGTGAAGCACATGAACTCAGCTGGCGTCCTGGCCACACTGAGGAATTATGACTACTATGCAAGTCGAGTTCCCGAATCTGTTAAAAATGTACTTGTTCCTTGAAGGGAAATCTTGTCGACTCAGCCAGGAGAAGGACTTGCTCCTCAAAAACTAATTGGATGGAATTTGAGCTCTACCTTTACTTCATTCATTGTTGATCACTGATTTACATTTGGTTACTTAGGAGTAGAAAATTGAATTTTTAAACGTCTTGATTAATGAATCAACCAGACCAATTTTGACATGTGGAAAACTTGTAAAGTCAGTATATTTCACATTTCATTTTTCCTCCTTTTATTTGGAGCAGTGAAAGTAAAGCTTAGTTCCAACTGGCCATCCTGGTGCACTGTTGAATCAGCATTCCTGTTTTGTAAACCAGATTTCTTTAGGGCACAGAACCACAAGTTATTACCTAAATCTCATTCTTGTCTTTCACAGTAATGTAAAACGTTTTCCTACCCCCATTCTGAATACATTAAAATATCATTCTATATGTTGATGAAACAGATTTTGAAGAAACATTTCTTTATAATAAATTATTTAATTCTAGCTCTCTCTGTTATTCACCAGCTTTTTTTGTTTTTAAGTAGTTGGAAACTATGTATTCTCTGCTGTGGGTATTACTTTATCCTTATGGCATCATTATGCAGTTTAACCGTGGAAAGTTAGGTAATTGCTCCTATTCCTTCCAAAGGAAGATTATAATGTATGCTATCAAAATTATTCTGACATTCTGCCTAGGTTTTTATTGTTTAGGACTCTGTCCTGTGCTTTTAAATAAATTTCTCTCATTGTATTAAGCAAGTGGTTTAAATTAATAATTCCCAAACCCACTGCATGTCAGAATCACCCGGGAAGCTTTTCAGAAAATACGAATTCACAGGCTCCAGCCAAGCGGTTTTGTCTTAAAATTCCGTGTATTTTAAGACAGCTACTCCAGGGATTCGGTAGTCATTTAAGTGTAACACTCACTAGAGACGGTGTCGGAGTACTGTTTTCACAAGGCACCTACAGGAAGAGGTCTTTGTGGCTTTGACACCATTGGCCCCTCTCCCTCTTGCAACTCTCTTCTCACTGTCCTGTTTTTCTTCTTCCCCCTAATAGCCACTCCTACTCAGTCTCCTTTCTTGGTTTCTCTTTGTCTCCCTTTCCTTGAATGTCAGTGTTCACCATGATTCTGTCCTAAGTTCTCTCTAGATGATCTAATCCACAAATATGGCTTCACTTAAGGGCCTTTTACCCAGAATTCCAAAATCTGTATCTAGCTTAGAACTCTCAAACTCTAGATTTCTATACCCAAAAGCCTACTTTGATGTCTCACAGGTATCTCTGAATTATGTCTAAAAAACTCTTCATTCTTGCCTACCCCTCCCTAAATTATTTTACAAATCCCCAAGGTGATCCTGATAATTGGCCATGTTTGGAAAGTACTTCCTTCTAAGAAAAGAGTTCTCTGTCTATATGAAAACAGTGGACTAGACCTAATTTTTTAAAAAATCTAAGTACAATGTGAGAATAACTTTGAAGTTATTTTCTATAGGCTCTTATATAAAAACTTTATCCAAGTGACATATTTGGAAGTCTGCATTCTCTCTCCACTCCCATTTCTTCTACATTAATTTACACACTCACACCCCTTTATTTCTTCCTTGAATCACTGCAGTGTCTTCCTGTCTAATCTTCCTTCCTGCACTGTTACTCCTCTCCAATCCATCTCTCATTGGCTCCAGGTTTTTTAAAAAGCCAAATCTAGTAATGCCACTCACTTCCTCAAAAATCTTTTATGGCTTCCTATTGCCTTTAAGATAAAATGCAAGTTCATTACAATGACATGTGAACCTCTTGATGTTATAGCTTCTTCCTTCTCCAGGATCACCTCTGTTCACTAACCTGTACTCCAGCCATGCTCAACCATTTAAAGTTCCCCCAAAATACCATGTTTTCTCTCACCTTGGCCTCCATTTATTCCATCATTCATTTACTCAACAAATATTTATTGAGCACCTGCTGTATATTAGGCATGGCTCTAGGTACTGAACATTCAACAGTGGACATAAGTCTGTTCCATTGTTGAGCTCATGTTCTTGTGAAGCAATACAGATAATAAGTAAATGAAATTATTTTAGATTGTGGAAAACGCTGTAGAAGAAATCAAGCAGGAAGATGAGCTGGGAAGCGGTGGAGGCAGGGAGGGGTGGGGGGGGAAGAAGATATCCGGTAGATAAAGTGGGGATGTCTTCCCTGAAGAGGTGATGTCTGAGCTGAAAACTGGCTGGAAAGAGGTCAGCCATATCGAGAGCTGGGATTATTAGTAGGAATAATAAGCACGTTGTCTCTGAGAAGAGAAAGGAAAATAACAAACACAGAGGAAGCCAGAGTAGGCGGAAGTAAGGTGAACAAAGAGAGGAGTGTTATAAAGTGAGGTCGGGGAGGCAGGCAGGTGCCACATCATCAAAACCATTTTTTTTTTTTTAATTTTAAGGGTTGAGGGAAAATGAGAGTGCCTATTGAAAGGTACAGAGCTTTTTTGGGGGAGGTGATGAAATGTTCTAAAATTGATTGTGGGCTTAGTTGCTCTGCAGCACGTGGGATATTCCTGGGCCAGAGCTCTAACCCGTGTCCCTTGCATTGGCAGGAGGATTCTTAACCACTGTGCCACCAGGGAAGTCCTCAAAGTCAATTTTGTATCACTCCCCACTGCCCCAGCAATCAATGGCTTTCTGTCCTTCTCCCTGTACCAATTATGATAGAGTAGGAAGGACCCATAGTATGTGCCAGGCATTGTGGGGAATCCAAGGATGTCTGTAAGATAAGGTTTCAGCAAACAAGAATGTGGAGAGCTAGCAGAGTGTGCAGAAGGGAAATCAATTTCAACAAAGAGGTGGAAAGGTGCCGTATACGTAGGATCACCTGGAGGACTTGATAAAATGAGATTATGGATCCCAGCCCTACAGATTCTAATAGGAAGGTAGGGGTAAGGGGACTGGTCCTGTTCTGATGCAGGTACCTTACCTACTCTGGAGGATGGCCATACATAAGACGGAGCCACCTCTGATAGTGGGTTAGGACAGGCACGGATAATGCCTCTATAGCTGTATTAAGCACTCAAGGTTCATATTTAATTTAAGCAACACTCACTTCCTAGCGATAATAGAGATGTCTTTGGGAAATTGAGGTATTTCTGTAATCAGTCCTTGGTCCCTTAAGCTCTAATACCGGCCCCTGGAGTATGCTTGCAGAACACTCGCCGGCACACACGTCACAAGGTTTAAGAGGAGGACAGACAACCCTCTAAAAGGCACGCTTGCACAGCCCAGGCAAACAAAGCCAAGACAAACTGGGGCAATGGCTTTTAGCACTGCCTTTTATAAATAAACCCTTTATTATTCAAGTAGGAAAATCACTTTTGAAAATACATTCTTCTTTTGAAAGAACTGAGGAAACATGAGAAAAACCTCCCCCATCCCCAGTGTAAACATGGCTGTTGGTCTACATGCTTCCAGGACTTTTTTTGTGTTTACATACAGTGCCCCCCAACAGTATGATCTCTGGTGGCCTCGGCCTGCAGTGGCTTGAAGCAGGGTTTCGGTTTCCAGCCAGAGATTGAGGTTGGGTCACAGAACGCCAAATCCTAGCAATTAGACCGGTGGTCAGTGACAAAACCCTGGCCGTTCGGCTTTGCGGAAAAGAATTCCCACAAAGACAGAAAGTAGTGAAACAAGTAAAGTATTTATTAGGAGGAAAAGAGTACAGTACATGTGGATAGACACACGGGAGGACTCTGAGAGAGTCGTGCCCTTGGCGTAGTTTAAATCACTAATGAGGAGCATTTCTTCCGGGTTCCCTTTGGCCAATAATTTTGATTCTCCTGGTTCTGAGTCCATGTTTGGTTTATCTCACGTTCCTCCCATGTGCACACGCATCTCTCAGCCAAGATGGATTCCAGCGAAGAGGCCTATGGGCAGCTTGGCATCACTCCCCTTTTGACCTCCAAGGAGCTCTCTAGTCGGGAAGGTCTCCTCGACTTCGAGAAAGAGAAATAGGTGGTCTCTTATCTTTTACCTGCGCAGGGCCCAGCCTCCTCTCTTGACTGCCCTGCTATTGGTATTTCGGGGTTTCTGTCCACAGGGAACGAACTCCAATTAATCACCCTGGGGGCGGGGCGCCCATCTATCTCCTGCCTCAAGTATACCACCCGTTTGTGCGTTTTGTTTTGGGCTTCCGGTGAACGCCCATCACACTGCAGAAACCGTCTTACCACTTACTTTTCTCGCTTTACGAACTGTCGAAAAATGTCGTGAGTTTCAGCGTCTCTCCCGCTTCAGCGGCTTGAAACTACACGTTGGCCCTCGTGACCCTAGATGCCCGGGGCACGGTCGAAGGTCCCCGGAGCAGCTGCCAGACGGCTGCGGCGGGCGGTGATGACGCACTGTGCTGTGCGCCAAGACGCTGGCTGCGGCGCGGGGGAGGGGCGAAGGCTTCCGCAGCGTCAGGCGTGCGCACACGTTGCACCTTCTCGCCTTGGGCGAGTCGGGGGTGTTTTCGGGTGGCAGGGCAGGCGCACTGATAGACCGGCGGAGCAGAGCAGATGGCGACGCTCTGTCTGACTGTGAATTCGGGAGACCCTCCGCTGGGTAAGGGCCCGGGGCCGCCAACCTGTGTGGGTTGCATCAGCCCGGGAGGGTGCGGGGAGGGGAAAGTCGCCGCGCCCAGTCTTGGCGCAGTGACGGTCACGGTCTGGGAGGTTAGGCCTGCCTCTCACCCCCGAAGTGTACACGGGGTAGGCTCCGCGCCCCTCGCCCTATGTCCCTGGCAGGTGGATTTGCTCCTGAAGACGTTTTTCTGGGGCGGGGAGGTAGGCGCTGTGTGAGCCGGGGCAGGGCCACCCGAGGCTCAGCTTCGGACCTTCTCTCCCGGAGGGATGACTCCCAGCTTACTCTCCTCTCCCTTTTAGAAATGATGTCTACTGGAGACCGAGCACCGGACGTAGAAATAACATTTTTAAAACTTGAAATCCCATTACTTCGCTCCCCCTCTTTTGGCGTTTTCCCCTAAATCCACTTATCTTTACCTCCCTTCCTTCGTCCTCAGAAAAGATCTTCAACCCCCTTGACTTAACTTTTCTTTACGTTTCATTGGGTTCAAAGGGAACGAGGAAGATGGTCGTAGAAGCATTTAAAATTTTAACCGAGGTTGCATTTATATTAATTAAAGGTTGAAGGGTGATTGCTGGAACACCCAAGTACACTGCGGACTGATGGGGTTGGTTTACTACACATCCGATGGAGGTAGTAAACGTCAGAGAAAAGGTCGGACTTGTCATCTTCCTGATACATCTTAAATTCGATTTGGAATTGCATTTTCAACGTGGCCAAGGTTACTATGGATAGATAGCTTAGACTTTCTGCTGTTTTTTTCCATTGCTTTCAGAAATTACACAAAATAATCAGTTTATTGAGCTCATATTTGCTAGTGCATTTCTTAACATATGCATGCAAGTACGTTTCAAATGTTTGAGAGGCCTAGACTTTTAGATACAGTTGCCCACATAGGGCTGATGATTACTCAGTACATTCTCATGACAGGGTGTTTAGTGTCTGTTGGAACAAAAAACACAATTTAATAGCCATTTAAAATACTTTAAAAAATGATCTTTTAGCATATTGGTTCAAGTAATTATGGGCTAACCTCACACAAATCACTGAACTCTGAAAGAACTGGGTTTGATTCTGCAGTTGGAAAGCACTAAACAGTGTGACCTCATGGTTAAGGGCAACGACACTTGCTTCTTGGAGACCAGGTCCATCCTGACTGCCACTCACTAGTTGTGGAACCTTGGCAATTCCTTTTTTGGCATCTCCCACTGTTTCCTTGTTTGAGAAACATGGAATAATATCTCCCACATACAGTTGCTTGCCAGAATCAAATGAGACTGCAGGTCAAGTTCCTGACACACTGTAGATACTCAATAAATAGCTGTCGTTTTTACTGATGTAATTTAGAAAATCACCCTGAATATGATAGATCTGTTTCCTTAGTGAATACTGAGAATCACATCTGCCAGTATACTGGAAGTGGGTCTTAAAGACATTTGTTGTCATTATGAACTATAGTCTAATTATAGAATATATGTTTCTATTTGCTTCTCTCCCTCCTTTTTTTTGTTTTTGATTTAATTGTTCCCAATTGTTTAATTCAAATACATTCTGTTTTTAAATAATCAATATAATTAGATGAAACATTCAGAAAAACAGATTGCATTGTGAGAATTTCCCTTATTTTACATGCATGCACCATTTTTTTTAATGTTAAAATAAGTTCACACTTAAAAAGGTGTAAGAATAGAACAAAGAACATTTTTTCTCCAGTGCCTTTGGAGAGCATACTGCAGGTAATGATGCTTAAACACCCCAGAATACTCCAGTATACATCTCTCTTAAGTAAGAAAACTATATGACTTCACAGGACCATTAAAATCAGGAAATACACATTGATACAATTCATCCATCTTCGTAGTGCAAGGATCAAAATCTAGGATCATACCTTGCACCTACTCATCACGTCTCCCCAGTTTCTTTCAATCTGGGATGGTTTTTTTAGTCTTTCATAGGTTTAACCTCTCTGGAGATTACAGGCCGCTTACTTAAAGAATGTCCCCTGATCAGGTGTTTCATGGTCCCTCATGACTAGATTCAGGCTACAGATCTTTGGCAGAAATAGCATAGAAACAATTCGTTGTTCTTCATTGCAGCCCAATAATTGGTACCTGAATTTTTCCCATTACTGATGATCTAATCTTGAGTACTTAAGATGGTGTCTGACAGCTTTCCCCACTGCAGAGTTTTCCGTTTTGCAGTTAACAGGCATTTTGTGTGGAGATGCTCTGGTACCATGTAAACATTTCACTCCCCCATCAAACCTTTACCCACTGGATTCAGCATCCGTTGGTGCTTCCTGCCCAACTTGATTATGATTAAGATGATGCCGGATGGTGACCTTCCATTCTGCCGTTCTTTCCACATGTATTAGTTGGCATTTTTTTGTGAGAAGATCTTTTTCTCGTTTTAAAAAAATTCATAGCAAAATATACTTAATAGGTTATACTCCGAATTATTTTTCATTTTCTGTTTTTAAAGTTAAAAATTTTTATTTTTAAAATTAGTTTTATTGAGTTACAAGTTGCATATAATAAAGTTTGCCAGTTTTAAGTTGTAAATTGATTGACAGATGTGTACAGTGTGTAACCACCAAAATAATGAAATAAAATACTTCCCTCACTTCAGAAAGTTCCCTCATGCCCCTTTGCAGGCAGTCCCCTTCCCCCATCTCTGGCCCTTGATAGTCACTGATCTGCTTTCTGTCACTATTTTTTTCTGCTTTTCCTAGAACTTCATATACATTGAGTCATATGAAACTATTCTTTTGTACATAGGATAGTTCTTTGAGATTCATCTATCTTGTTGCCTGTAATAGGAATTCAGTTTCAAAATTTGCTGTATAAGATTCTTTGGTGTCGGTATTCTAAAACTTAGATTATTTACTTTAGTGGTTAAATTGGCTCTATTTGCCAGTGGGAGCCCCTCCAGGCTGACCTCTGTGTCCTTTTGGCATATCTCTTATCATTCTTTGAGTACTTCTTGCTTTCTAGCACAGTGAAATTTTCCAGGTTTATCTTGTACCTTCCCTACCACAGCCCTGTCTCCAGTGGAGCGTGGTATTTAGAAACCAGTATCTGGTTACCAGTTGTCCATCTTAGATAAATTAAGGACGACGGATTAATGAATATTTAGTAAACTTTATGATGTGTTGAGAGGCACGTATCACTGTTTTAGAATATGAGTTCTGGACTGCCGTAGACCTGCGTTCAAATCCTGACTGCCACATATTAATCAAGGACTTTGGGCTAGTTATTTAACCCCTCCAAGCCTCAGTTTTCTCTTCTATAAAACAGAGATAAAGGTGCCTACCTCTTAAGGTTACTACAGAGATTAAAAATGATAATGCATGTAAGGCATTTAGCACAGTCCCCACCACATAGTAATCACTCTAATACTATCAACAATAGCTTTTATACAAGGAACTATTCTAATTTCTTCTTTTCTCCCGAGAGAGGGAAAGATTAATTTCAGTGTCCCTAACTGGACACTGAGTATATTCAAAAGCAGTTGGATTATGCCAGGGAATGGTTTCTGGTTTGTTACTTCTCCAAGACCAGAAGGCCATACTTTGCGTCTACAGACTCTAGGGAAAAATGTTTACTCCTTGCAGGTCTTAATACTGGTTTGTTGACTCATTCTCATTGCTTTATGATTCAGGTTTTAAATACCACATTGTTTATAAAGAGAAATCTTTTCATCTCATTTTTAGGAGCTTTGTTGGCAGTAGAACATGTGAAAGACAACGTCAGCATTTCTGTTGAAGAAGGGAAAGAGAATATTCTTCATGTATCTGAGTAAGTGCTTTTATATCTGGTTTTCAGTACTGAACAGCATTTTAAAAATATTTAGGATTAAATGTTATGCTTGTTTCACTTGCTAACTGGTAAACGGTCCCTAAAAAGAAATACACTTTCTTCCTCATTCTAAAAGAACTATATCCAGAGACATATCTGTCAGCACACTATCTGATCATATATCTAATCTGTCAGAAAGAAACTAGAGATGTACAGAAGGATTTATATATATGGGTTTTTAATTCTGTTGTAATGTATTCTGGTGGAAAATTGGAAGTTTTTAAAATCAGTAATAATAGGAAATAAATTTCGTAAGTCCACAGCATAGAATATTAGGCATCTGTGAAAAAAAGGCTTATGAAGAATTTTTAATGGTGGATATGTTCATAATCTAATGTTAGTAAAAAAGCAAGACATAAATGTAAAATTACATCTACAAAAAAAAATGAGAAGTATACAGCACTTTTAATATTATTTCTTTCTGAGTTTTGGAATTGTGGGGTTGTTTTTTTCTTTTTGCTTCTCTGTGTTTTCAAAATTTTCTGTAATGAGCATATACTGTATGTTCTTGATTAAGAAGGATTATTTGCATCCCAGGATATAGGGAAGATTGCGTGCCCTCGGACTTATCTCTTTCTTTTGGAGCCCACTGAAAAGAATTTAAAAGAACTGGGAAGGGAAACATTCTCTTGTTTAACGAAACTAAGGAATAAACACAACATGGTTTCAGGTCCTTTTAAGAATATTTTGCCAGATGGTGGGATTTGGACCACATTGAAAGAGGGTTTCAAGGGTATTCTCAAGCAGGATGCGGAATTCTGAAATGGTTTAAATGGTCTATAATAAACTGACAGAAGGACTTGTATTGGGGAAGGGCAACGTATGCAACGTATACAACGTATGTATGATTGCTCTTCATGTACAATTTTTACTTTTCCGTGGAATTATTGTTGTTTGCTTTGTTC